TTGTGTAATGGATGAGTAGTATTTTGAGTCAGAACGAGCCGAACACGAACGAACAAATCTTGTTCGAGTTCGGCTCGTTAAATTAGTGAACAATCCGAACTTCCGAAGTATGAACGTAGAGTTACGTTCGGACTCCAATTAAAATTTGACTTGTTTCAAATATATAAAATATTACTTTATTGTCTAAAAAATAGATAAATTATGTATTGATTATCTTGTACAATATAGTTGTATTGGAGGTTTTTTTAGTACAATCATGTTGTACACTACGATATTCACATCGAATTATTTATTTTAATATTTTTTTTTTAGTACAATATTGTTGTACGAAATAAAAGCATTCAATACAACTATGTTGTACACCATGGTCAGGCCGGAAAACTCAACTCGTAACGATTATCATGTACGCCATGGTTGTACTGAAAAATTTTTTATGTGCTATGAAGTTCACATTAAATTATTTATTTGGTTCTTTTTTTTAGTTAGTACAATAAAGAAAAAACTCAAGTACAACTAATCTCTACATCATGACTAGGTCGGGCATCAGACTTTTCAGTTTTTTATAATAAACTAATATTTTATATATTTAACAGATTCGACCATAAAAATAGAAAAGAGACAAGAAAAATAAAAAATAAATTGTGTTAATTAAAATCAAATTAATTTACTCGTGTACTTCAACAAGTGTTCCCACTCTTTCTCATCGTTATAAGTGAAAGAACCAAGCGACAGAAAGCTTCATTCGCATTTTTACATTTGGACTGTCTTATTTCTCTATCATTCCCTCGGTCTCTGATTTCTCGAAGTTTTGCTGATTCCCTGTGCTTGTCTATGGTTTCATTCATCTTCGTTGGATCAAAACCCGCAGAGCGTAAGTTACTGTTTCCCAACTTCATTCGCACGATTCTATATTCTCGTTTCATTTGTGCCTCCCTGTTCAAATTGCACGTAGAAAACTAAGGGAATTGTACCCTCCTTCCTTATTCGAACCAAAGCCTTCCCTTCTCCACCCTCTTTATGCGTTTGAAGTCTCCCTGCCTCGTCAAGGTAAAGACTCATCCCAATCATTCATGCGACACCCCCACCTCCCCCCCAGTGGGATTGAGTGCATTAGAGGCCCACTTGCCTCTACGGAGCACGAATAGACAAGCAACAACTACAACATCGAGTCTGATAGCAACAATTAAGTTTGGAGCAAATTTGAGTCAAAATATTTGTTATGGAAAGAGATCCCGATGGTAATTCAAGATCTTTGATTTCAGGAATTTACGGTAAGTATCGTTCACAAATAAATTAATTTATTTTTATTTATTTATTCATGTAATATTTGCATAAACAATTATTCTAGCGTCTTGAGCATGAGACACGCATGTGGCGCAACTTTAAGTGTAAGGGTAGTGATCGCCTCTGGGACATGTTGGGCGATATCTAGAAATCGTAAGAACATCGTCTATGGCTCGGAGAGAATGTTTCTGCCATGCTACTTAGGGTCCCCGAGATTCTCCGGACTACCAAAAGAAGTGGGAGTTGACAAAATAGAACATGCAGGTGGACTATGGAGGCATGTGGCCCTCCAAGCATACTGGTTGGGCACTCCCACATACGGAATACAAGCGGGGGCTGATATGATTTTATTTATTCTATAAGGTTTTTTATAGTTTGAATATATATTCTAACAATTTTGTTTTGTGGACAGGCTATGGAGATTGGACAAGAGCCCTCCACCGCCAATGTACATGAGCGTACCCATAGGAGGCGGTCCGACCAATCTTGGATCGGCGACAAATCCCTCATGACCAAGGAAATTAAAATGCTAAACTAGTTTGACTTCAATAAATTTTAGCTCTAACTGAATGTAATTACTTTAGTTTGCAGGAGTGATTTCAGTGGCTTAAGAAGAGCTGATCTCAAGCGTCGGGAGGTATTATGATCCGCGAGCGTGATCCTTTTGAGTACAACATGCGGAGGGAGACTACTGGAGGGAAGAAGAAGGGTCAAGTCTATGGGCTTGGGTCGCAGGGGTTTGATTACGACACTCACCCCTCCACTAGTGCATCTGCAGTTTCTACCTCTACCGAACAAGATGAGGAGATCTTTAAGCGTGTTGTGGCATTCTCTACCAAGATGGAGGCCCGCTTTTCTCAAATGAGGTCAAAGCTGAAGGCCAACCTGAATATTGATTTGGATTCCTTCTAACAATGGATGAGGGAGTGTGACAAGCCAACTACATCATTGGAGGAGGAGAAAGTAGATGATGACAATGAGGATGAGGGTGGCTAGATAGAGAAGGAGGATTATGAGGGGCCTTTTTCTTTTTTTTTTAAATGCTAATGTATATTTGCACATATGTTTTTTTTTTTTTTATATGAACATTGATGTACATATCCTAGAGTAAATACATTTATTTATTTTATTATTTGATTAGATAATTTACTCTTTCAAAACTATGTTTGTATGTTAAATATTGTGATAGTAGATATAGTAATGTAAATATGAAAGAAAGAATTTCTTTTTTTTCTTATGCTACAGGTTTCCGACGGCTTACCCTCGGTTTTACGACGGTTCCAAACTTATCTGTAGGCAAAACTGACGACCAACCGATGAATATTTTTATTGATGCCCAACAAATACATAACTAACGACTCAAAGTGTGTCACAAAAAAAAACAGACATGACTCTTTTCCCGACAGTTAACACATAAGTTATATTAAACGACACTTAACCAGAGGTTTTTACCTGCATAAAAAAGCCAACGAGTGTGACACTTTTTTGACAGTTCATCTGTCGTTTATAAAAATAACGCCTAAACGATGATTTTGTCTGCTTCAAAAAACTGACGGGCGTAACAAATTTCTGACATGTATGTCGTTATTATTTTCGACAGAAGATATGTCGGTTATACAAATCGACAATTACCAAGACTTGAATTTTCTCAAAAAAACTACAATATAAAATTTTCAGACAACCATCGATAAACTTTTACTGTCGGAATATCGGTCGGTTTTGGAATCACCAGTAAACGTTTTATCTGTAAACATAAAATCGTTGATAACATTAAAAATGACAGTTTTTCTTATCATAACCGATGGATTGTGGTCGTTGGAAAAAAACCCAAATTCGGGTAGTGTATGAAAATATATTCAATTATGTGAAATTTAAATACCAGCATGTGCTCAAACCAATGTGCGGGCAAATCGAGTCGTATTGTCGATAGAATAAGGTTGTAAGTCTCACCCCACTAGTCTGATCCCACTCCTCGCAAGTTCTGGAGTTCACAAGCCTAGTAGTTTAAGAAAAAAAAATCCAAATAATGAAATAAGAATTCACAAGTCTCAATCACATAACTAGTTTGATCCTCCTTCTTATAAGGACAAGATTCGACATGACTTATACCCTAATAGTCTAAACTGACAAAACTAATTATCCCTCCTTCAAACATAAAAGTTATAAATGTTCAAATCTCTGATGATGTATGCGTTGAAAGAAGATTTCAATCAGAGGTTTTAATCTTTAAAGTTAGGCTTTTTCAAAATAATAAAGTGATATTCAAACTAAAATTCAATCATTAAAAGCTAAAAGTAAAATTCATCCGTTTTTCACAATAGTTTGTTGAGGGTGAAAATTTCCTGTGACATTCAAAGTAATTGCAAGATAGAAAGGACGTGTTACGAGTCCTCTGTCTACATGTTTTTGTTGTCAATTGACACCACAAAATAACTGTTACGACCATGGCCCTTTGTCTAGGTGGTTGCCAACAAATAACACCATTATATTACGGTCACGAGCGCAACTGATTGGCATAAAGCTTTCTGTTAACTAAGGTCGATGTAAATTTGTCTTCTTAGACAAAAATCCAAATCAAATCTAGAAGGAACTCTTGGACAATACAACCCATGACTGCTGACAAGAATCCTCTTGCCAAGTTGGGTCAACTAACTCTGACTATGTAGATCAGGGACCACGACAGCTCGGGATGACAGAACATAAGATCTTGATTGGGTTTCATCTTCATTCCCTCACCAACCACTTTAAACTTCAAGTGGTGAATTCTATAATTTAAATCCCAAGTTTGTTTCTATTATATGCTCAATTTTCAATCTTAAATGGCTAGTCTTAATTGAAAGTGTTTTCTCGTTATCGGGATGAGTAATTAATCATAGAAGCTTGCACCCATGGGAAACCTCGAACCTCAGATAAAAAAAAAGTTCTCACTAAATGAGAGCGAAATCTCTTGTTAGTGTTTTATCTACAATCAAACATGTCTTCTAAAAATCAGTCACTTTTAAACACTCTCAACAAAATAAAATAAAATAAATTATAGTGAATCTCATTACGAGCGGTCAAGAATTTTTAGAGCCCTTAAACACGTGTTAAATTTTAATTGGAGTCCGGATATAACTCTACTTCCCGACTCTTAATAAAATATTTCCTTATCTCGATAAATCTTTACAGTAAATAGAGGAAACCGCATCCAGATCACATCAATGTAAAATCCAAAAGAGAGAACACAAAAAAAGCTGACATATTTGTTCCAAGACAATATTCATAATGGTCATGCATGGAGCATCATTTCCTAAATTATGTAGATGTTGACGGCAAGCAGAATTCACATTAAATTCTCTACATATTTAAGGCGGCTTTAGATTATTTATTTTATCATTTATTTCAATTTTTATTTAAAATAAGAGTTGAATGCATATCTCCTCTTTTATTTTAAAATTTGCTCTTCCAACTTTTCATGCTTTTACTTAAGAAATATTATGATCTTGCCTTATTAATTGATTTAATTTCTCTATAAATTCAATTATGATTGTTTTCGATTTTTTTTTTTTTTTTTTTTTTTTTTTTGTTCATAGTAAAGATGCTGAGCTAAAAGACTATCAAATTTAACTTATTCTAATAAATGAATGCCAAACACAATTTAACTTTAAAAGTTGAAATGTTTGATGAGAGATTTTTGTATATGCATAAAATATATTGTGTTAACCTTCTGATAAGGGCAACCATTTTCATGTCTAAATAGATCTCTAAAACATGAGATCTATCTCTAAATTGAGGAATGAAACCAAGGAAGAACTGTCATACATTAGTATTCGCAAATAATTTATATGCCTACTATAAACTTGGCTGAAAAAATGAGCTCTACCTGCAAATAGGTCTATATTAGCTCATACAATTAATAGAAACATAGACTTAACTTTTTGGAGAGCAACATAAAGTCTTAGATTGTGTTGGCATAAAATCTTAAATAATGACAATCACTATTATAAATGGAGGCTACCATGAAATCTCAAATGGAGTTTACCACAAATTAAGGCTCCGAGACTATAAATATTATGAATAGAATAAGTAATATCATTATATAAGCTCATAAAGTATTTATTTGTAAATTATCCCACAATCAGGAGTGAAAAAAGAGATGAACAAAAGGAGGAAGAAATGCTTAATGTAAACAAAATGAGAAGAAGAGCCGTCAATTCTTTTGTTCATTTCCATTCATTACCTTCACAACGATTGTACTTATATTCAGCCGTTAATGCAAACAAAATGATATATTTTTATCTTCATTTTTATAAGATGTAATCTCACTATATATATATTGAAATTGAATAAAATAATTGATTTATGCAGTCATCTACATCAATGAATCTCACCAAACTACATAAATTTGTTCCTTATAGTTGAGATTTTTTGTATGGTTTTTTTTTCTTGTCTTCGTTTAATTTTCTGCTCAATATCTTATCATCACACTAACAAAAGAATAAATTTATAAAGAAACTAACTACGACGACCAAACAAAATGCTGAAATATACAAAACATTCCAAATAAAACACCTCATTAAATCTAATATTTCAAATCTATTGCGGGCTAAACCCCCCAAACACCTTGCAGCCAGATCCAATATGCATTAGACTTTTCTTAGACCAAAAACTAAGCTCCAAATCTTAAGAACATACACAACTATTCATTCTTTCATAAATCAAACCAAACAGAAGACAAAATATAGTTTTTTATATATAACAAGGTGAAAATGAATATGATAATACTATTTTTTAATCATTTTTCTTAGATGCTAACCTCAGCCATAGCAGATGTTATTACTTTAGGTATAGGCTCGGTTGTGTCACCAATTCCCAAATTAATGATCTGTGCTTCAGGATATTTCTCCATATGTGCTAATTGCTTTCTTCCAATCTGATTATAAATTCACAAAGAGAGAAATAAGTTATAATTTTAAGAATATAAGCTAGCTTAGATTGACTTGCACTATAAAAGAACCAAAAATGCATGCTTAATTAAGTTATTCATTAATTCTTTAATTTGTTTTCTAGGCATTTGTAATTTGTATTGTTATGCATTGTTTTTGTATTAAAATTGGAATGCAAATCGGGTACAGCAACAACAACAACAACAAAGTCTTTATCTCACTAAGTGGGGTCGGCTACATGAATCTTTTTTCTCCATTGCCACCTATATAGTGCCATATTTTCATTTAGTTCTAATAAATTAAGATCGTTTTTTATATAATAAGCCCAAGTTTTCTCAGGTCTACCTCTGTCTTTCTTAACATAAGTCAATCTAAACATCTACTATCCTAATCAGATCGCGTCAGATGATCGACGTTTAGTGTCATAATTTTCATTTAATACAAATCACGTGATCGATTAAAAATTAATTTTAATGAGATTCTTGTAATTCTATAAATAAATTTCATTTGGAGACTATTGAATCTTATTTTCTTCTTCTCCTCCTTCTAATTGCTGGAGTTGTCGACATTCTCGAATTATAGTTTATCGAGATCCAGCAAACTAGACCGCATCATACACAAACCAAAAGGAGACTCTAACTAAAGATATTCATACCTCCTGGAACAGGTATCCGTTTATCAGCTTCTCCAAATTCGGATTCCGTGCCACCTTTGTTCTGCAAACTAAAATATTTATTGCAAAAAAAAAAAAACAAATCATAAAATATACAAAGACGTCTTCCAAACAACAATTAATATGACTAAAATACTTACCGGCCATACCAACGTTACCACACCTTCGAATGCATGAGGAAGCCCCATTAAATTGGATTAAACTGCAGAGAAGCACAAGAGAAATAGTAAAATTAAGGACTGGAATGATATAAGTACTAGATTTCAACACAATTGTTGATACTTTTTGCATTTTTACCTCGAGCTAATCATCCTAGAAAATAGAAATGTTACCAACAAGGGAAAAAACTTGCAGAAATATTGGGAGTTTGGAAGGCTATTTATAATAATAATGCAAGCACGTGGGAGGCAAAGGATGGATGGTCCATGCAGAGAAAAAAGTTTCCTATGGTGCTTGTCACATGAAGGAAGGATCCAGGAGATGAGAGATGAAAGAGACTATTTGAAAAGTACTTAACTGGAGCACAAAGGGAATTTAACGAGCAAGTTACCAAGCCCGTTTGAATTGTCTTATTTTGAAAATGGTAATGGAAGAAAATCCTGTGCCTAATTAATTTCCATGATTTTCTTGACAATATTGATGTGTTGCTTTGACTTAGAATACATACATACACATAATATATATATATATATATTAAAAAGAATGGCTTGAGGCTATTATACGAGTCTCAGTCATTCCTGATGCGCTGGCTTGAGGCTATTATACGAGTCTCAGTCATTCCTGATGCGCCTAACAATTCAAGTATCACACCCTCTATCGACGGAAATCGAACCCCAGACCAAAAGAGATTTACAACTGACAAGTTGATGCTCGACCAACTGATCTGAGCGCACGCACACACACACACACACACACACACACACACACACA